TAAATCTTGCATCCTCTGCACCTTGCTCTGCTGACGTCTTCCAGTTCTTTATGTATTAGCTTAACTCTCACTTCCTCAAAGCCTTCTCTGGTCCGCCAAACTAAATGATCCCCCTTTTAATCTCTCTTATTTCTTACATCATTTGTTCATTTCTTGCTGTACTTTGTAGTCACATAGCAAGTAATATTTACCTTTCAAACTCCTGTTAAGCTCTCAGTTCTGAGTTAACAGTGACCAGGGCATAATAGGAGCTTAATTAAACTGTCCCCTAGAGCCTTGGCTCTCTTGGTGCTCCTGTTCCCGACTAGCAGGGGCTGAACTGGATGCGGAATGATGGTGTGGGTGTCACTTACCAGCTGGTAAGACAGAAGGGAGAACAAGAGCTCTGACCTGCTTGTTTTGAGCTGACTCAGTGACATGAGGCCTTATGTCCCTCTCCTGGAGGGAAGGCAGCTTCCGGTTGGGCAGTCAGCTGGGCTTCAGGTGTGGACTCTCTGCCTCAGGTTGCATCCTGGTCCTGTCACTTTCTGTCTCGTTTTCTTCATCTGTAAGATGGAGATCTTTCTTTTCCCTAGCTGCCTTGAGACCATAATAGAATAAGTTTAATTGCAATCAGAAAAGGATTGATTTCAGACTTAAAGAAGATGATGTATTCAGAATGCTTCACACAGTGCCTGCTGGAAAATAAGTGGTATTTGTTTCTTATTAACAGTAGTTGCTGCTAGGATGTGGGCACTGATGCTGACCCAAGATCCGGTGTGATATTCAGCGTGGTAGGCCCCAGCAGGGCTGGGAGGATGTCAAGAAAGGGAAGACAGGAGTGTGCAGTGGACATCCAAACACCAGCTGGACCAGTGAGGGCAAGCGTCCTTCCAACTTGCTATCCCAATCTCCCTTACCCCCACTTGTTTTTGAGTTGGGGTCTCACTCTGTGGCCTAGGCTGGAGTACAGTGGCACCATCACGGCTCACCGCAGCCTCGACCTCCTGGGCTCAGGCCATCCTCCTGTCTCAGCCTCCCAGAGTGCTGGGATTACAAGAGTGAACCACTGCACTTGGTCTCGATGTCTCTTTAGTACATTTCTTTTTTGTGTAAGCTAACCAGAGTCAACAACTCTTGCTTGCATCCAGATGGGTATACTTGTTTTCTGCTTCCTGTCCTGTCATCCTGTGACTCTGGTTCCTATCAATTCAGCACTTTTCCTGCGAGGGGTAAGCTGCTCAGTAAAGTTACCAACATTCCTACTGCTCTCTTCCACCCCCAAAGTGATCAATTCTGTGTCTGAAGATTTTAGCAGCCATCAGAAAACTTGTCTGAATGTGAGTCGTGAGATCACAAAGGAAGAATTAAGAACAGAGAGTTAGCCCTGTCAAAATAGAGAAACTGAGTCTTGTTCCATGGGACAGCCCATCCATTGTCACAGTCAGCTCCGGGTTTTTGCGGATTGGATTCGCCTCATCTGGGCCATGCCCAGAAGGTCGCTCTCCTCCCAAGAGACTGAGGAATTTAAGCATCAGAAACCCAGTGCAAACTAGTTTATCCAGGAGAAGGGAGTTTGTTGACTCTGGTAACCAGGAGGAATATCAAGGAGGCCCCTTGATATTCAAGATCAAGAGAGCGGCCAAGCTCCAGGGCTTGCAACTAGGAACTTGAGGCAGGGCTCCCCGGCTCTCACCGGGGCATCTCCATCATCTTCAAGCCTCACTTTCATGGTCTCGTTCCTGACTGTTCTCAGTGGTATGAACATCTGGGAAATCCCAGCTCAGGCTTTGAGCCAAAAAGGAGAGAAGGGTTGGCTCAGGTGTTTGTTCTCATAGTCAGGAAGACCGGATACGATGCTAGGCCAGGGCTGAGCCACATGGCCACATTCCAGTTGCCGGAAGAATGACCATGGAAGACCAGCAGCTGCTGCTGCCCGGTTCACACTCTGACTCAGCCTGTCATCAGTATCCTGGGCACTGGGCAGACCAACCATGCAAGGGATCTCTCAATGATTAGAGATTCCCAAAAGGACCAGTGCCATGGTCTATGCACAAATTCCTATGAACTATGAACAAATTCCTTTTTTTTTTTAAACTATAGTCCGCCCCTCCAACGGTCTGAGGGACAGTGAACTGGCCCCCTATTTTAAAAGTTTGAGGACACCTGGTCTATGGTAAGGGCTTGACTGGGAAATGTGGACTGGAGCAATCCTTTTAGGGCCAGTGTTTTCCATGGAGTCTTGGAATTAGTTTTATTAAGGGTCCAGTGTCTTGGTCTCCTGGCAGGATAGAATCACATTGAATTTTTCCATTCTAAATTTTGTTGTTCTCTAACTACTTGATAGTCGAAAAACATAATTAGTAGAGGCAAGAAGGCTGGGGGTGATGAGGGACATAGCTGTCTATTTCATGTCCTTGTGACAAAGGTTCAATGACAATGACAAAGGAGGCTGGAGCTCTTTATTTACTGCTCCTTTCTGTGACTTGTAGGAGATTGTTGTTTGGGGTTTTGCTGTTAACCTTTGAAGTAAGGATGATGTGTCACGTTCATGACAACCACACGTATTCAGGGACTTATTATCTTCAGAGTTAAGGGTAAGTCTTGTTTTTGGAGCCGTGTGAATATAGATTAAGATCAAGATTAGTGAAACACTTCGCTCTGGAAGATGTAATAATGTGCTTCCTTTAAACATGTTCCTTGACACTGAAGTTGCCCTAGTAATTCTTCCAGACACTTGCGGCTTGCACTGCCTAAGGACTCCCCCTGGCGGAGACCGCTCTCACAGCTGCTCTGGGACATACAGCTGAATGCTTGTTCTTTGGAAATTCTTTTTATTTTTTTTTTAGTTGGAGTTTCACTCTGTCACCCAGACTGGAGTGCAGTGGCACGCTTCCCGCCACCGCAGCCTCAACATGCTGGACTCCGGAGATCCTTCCGCCTCAGCCTTCCAAGTAGCTGGAACTACAGGCGCGCGCTACCATGCTCGGCTAATTTGTTTGATTTATTGTAGAGATGAGGTCTCGCCAAGTTGCCCGGGCGGGTCTCGAACCCGGTGGCTCAGGCAATTCACTCACCTTGGCCTCCCAAAGCGCAGGATTACAGGCTGAGCCACCGACCTTCATGTGCTAAGGGCTAGACTATAGCCCGGTTTAGGGCACCCCCCAAGTGAGGAATCGGCTTTCGCATTTCAACTGGGATCCAGTGTTAAAGAAGCTGGTGAGGTGTGGAGAATGGGGAGAAAACTTGCTTGATGTCTTCTGGGGTAAGGAGGAAAACAGTGGTCAGAAACTCGGCTCTTGGTTGAGATAGACTTCGGCTTGACTCTTGGCTAAGACACTTCCTAGCATTGTGATGCTGGGAAATTAGTTACCTTCTTTTAAGTCTTTGTTTTCTTGTCTGTCAAGTGGGGCCAATAATACAAACCTCCTAGAGGTTGATGTGTTTAATAAGATAATCCAAACAAAACATTTAACGTTGTGTGGGTACTTTGCTCTAAACCTACTTAGAGTAGTTGTAGTATTTTCAAGAGTACATTTTTAGGCCCCCATGTGTCTCTTTTTCACCGTGAATTTGTAATCTCTCTCAAGCGTCCAGGCAAAGAGCAGACTGCCACCACCACCTGGGGGTGCCATAAGGATCTCCGGGCAGAGGCTTGGGAACTAGTCTGTCTAACTTTGTGGGTTTTTGTTTGTTTTGTTTTTGTCAAGGTCTCACTCTGTTGCCCAGGCTGGAGTGCAGTGTCATGATCATGGCTCACTTCAGCCTCCACCTCCTGGGCTCAAGCGATCCTCCTCAGTCTCTTGCGAAACTGGAAGTGCAGGTGCTGGCCACCAAGCCTGACTAATGTTTTTTATCTTTTGTGTAGACAGGGTCTAGCCATGTTGCCCAGGCTGGTCACAAACTCCTGGGCTTAAACGATCCTCCCGCCTCAGCCTCCCAAAGTGCTGGGATCACAGACATGAGCCATGATGCCAGCCTGACTTGGGTTTATATGCAGGATTTACCAACCAACCTCTTAGAGGTTCTGTTTCTCAACCATAAAATGAGAACAGTAACGCCTGTTGTGAGGATTAGAGATGATGTAAGTGTATGTCAGCTCACAAGCTCCACTGTAGGCTGGCTTTCAAAACTCCCCCACCTGACCATCTTCACATCTCAGGTCACAGTGATGATGTCAGTGAGAATCTCTAGTGACAAATCTTGGCTATCAGGTTTATCTTACTTGCTGGCCCTGAGTTGGAGTCCACTGCTCTGAAGCCTGGCCTAGCTTCCTTCAGACCAAGAAGAGCCAAGAGAGTGGGTACTGCCACTAAGAAATATGCGCTTTTTTTTTAGTTTGAGCCTAACTCTGTCACCCAGGCTGGAGTGTAGCTGCATGCTCACGGCCGCGGCAGCCTCCACCTGCTTGGCTCAGGTGATCCTACCACTTCAGCCTTCCAAGTAGCTGGGACTATAGGTGCATGCCACCATGCCCAGCTAATGTTTTGATTTTTTTGTAGAGATAAGGTCTCACCATGTTTCCGAGGCTGGTTTCGAACCTCTGGGCTCAGGCAATCCCCTTGCCTCCGCCTCCCAAAGTGCTGGGATTACAGGTGTGAGCCACTGTGCTTGGCTAGAAATATGCTCCTTGCACAACACGCACCCTGGTGCGGGTGCCGACTGAGAGATAACAGAGAAGTCAATCTCAGCTCCGCAAGAGTGCACATGGAAGACTGATTGCAAAGGCTGCTGACGTGATCATAACTTTTAATCAGGACTGGCAAGAAACATTAGCAAGTGTTTGATGTAGAAAAACATGATATTCAAGGTCAAAGTTTCTGGAAGAAAGCTCTCTCTGCTTCTGCCTGGTCCTAGAAAGCTACAAATCCATAAAAAAACTGCCTCCCCTCAAGTAATCGATCCTTCACGTGGCAGGTTCCCCAACGCCGTTTTACATGGGTCCCTTCCGAGGAGAAGGAAGCTTGGGATGTTCAGATGCTCGGCGACCTGGTGACTCTCTTCTCACTTGTGTCTTGCAGCCTACTTCTGCTTCCTTCTGACGGCCCTGGGAGTGACCGCCGGTGCCCATCGCCTGTGGAGTCACAGGTCCTATAAGGCCAAGCTGCCCCTGAGGATATTTCTGGCTATTGCCAACTCCATGGCTTTCCAGGTGGGGACGGAGGGGCCTCTCTGCTTCGGGGACCCAGTGTGGGAGAAGGGGAGCGTGGGAAGACACCCATTCACCCTCATCCTAGGCTCCCTGTTCAGGCCTGAGCACTCCCCATCTATTCCACCTGTTTAGTTCCTTGTAGCCCCCTGAGGGTTTTGTGCCCCAAGAGGAGACTCCTCCATCTAGAGTCTGTACCCCCAAACCCTCGATGTCTACCCGGCTCCAACCCGGGCAAGTTCTGTGATGAGCATACCATGTGCGTCCTGCATTCAAACCTCTCCATCACCCTGTAAGCTAGATGTTACATGTGCCCCTTTTACAGACAAGGAAAGCGAGATTTAGTGAGATTAAAGAACCTGCTTGAATCATACGGCTGAGCAAATGGCACATCCGGGACAGGCAAATGCAGGTCAGCCAGACTCCAGAACCAGTGTTCGGACAAAACACAGTTCCAGGGTCGCTTCGAAAGATCCTGATGGAGTGTCCAATGGCAGTTGGAAACTCAGAGATTTTACTTGAATGGCTGTCAGGTGTGAAGTGCTTCCTTGCCTCCAGTTTCTTTTTCTGTCCAAATAAGACGATAGCTTCATTTGGGGTTGTTATGAAATCACTGAAAATTGCAGGGAGCTCTCTCAGAATATAAGAGACAGTATCTCTAGGATCAGACCATATTCTTTAGGACTATTCCAAACTATTCTGTTTCCCACCACTTTGGGCACTTTCTGGGCTGCCAGAATTTTGGTTTGATTTTAGATCTCTGTTTTTCCAATTCTTTTTTTTTTTTTAACTAGCTAATTAATTAATTTTTTTGAGCAGGGATTTCGCTTGGTTGCTCAAGCTGGAGTACAGTAGCACGATCCTGGCTAACTGCAGCCTTGCACCTTAGCCTCCCAAGGGACTGCAGGCACATGCCACCATGTCCGTCTAATTTGTAAAATTTTTTTGTAGAGATGAGGTCTCACTATGTTGCCCAGGCTGGTCTCAAACCCCTGGGCTCAAGTAATCCTCTCACCTCAGCCCCCCAAAGTGCTCGGATTACAGGCGTGAGTCACCACACCCCATCGATTTTTCTAATTCCTAACTGGTTCTCCACATTTCTGCCCATCTGTGAGGGCGGATGATTCCAGGCCCTGTGTATTTTACCCATTGGGAAGGAGTCATGATTCCTAAAACTACATCAGTGTCTAGGGAAGCAGGCAACCCAGGAGTCCCCCGGGGCCCTCAGACACACAACCTCTGTAGTCCCCTCTGCCATGGGCCCCCCCTCCCACCAAGACCGCCTGACCCTGAGCTTTCCTTTGAGCTCCCTTGTAGCTAAGAATTCAGTTCCCTATTTTAGACTTCCCTCGTACAGTTTAACTTTTTTTTTTTTTGAGTTGGAATTTCACTTGTCGCCCAGACTGGAGTGCAGTGGCCACTCCTGGCCACCACAGCCTCGACCTACTGGGC